GCGTTTCTTCAGACGCTGACCTGAGCGTGAATCGCGGGCGGTGTCTGCACAGAAGCCTGTGGACCCGGCTTTCTGCTCGTGCCCTCGGGCACCGCCGGTCTCCGTCGCCCCGCGGACCACGGCCTCACGGGCGGCCCATCAACCGGGCAGGACAGCGCTTTCCAAACGGGCGGAGAACATTCCGGAAAGCTCGCGGACGAGTAAGTCTGAGGCTTCTCGCTTCTGTACGTACGGCCCAGCGGCATTGGCGTGATGCTACGGCAGAGCAGGCTGGGAATGGGAGGGAAACCCGGTGCGAGATCCGTGCGCCCCTCTCGGGACGGCTGCGGAGTGGACGGGTGGACTGAGCACCCCCGCGGCACGGAGAGCAGAAGCACCGCCTCGGGGAAGCCGCCCCGGGAGCTTGGCTTTCCCGGACGGGGTGCGCAAACGGTCGCGGCGTCCGGCCAGTGCGCACAAGGCCTGGATATCCCTCTTTGGGGCGTTTTTAAGGATTAAAGTCACCGAGGGTCGGGCTTCGCATGTTGATAGCTCAGGTCTTTCCACTTGGAAGCAGAAACCACTGAACCCAAGAGCAAAGCTGAAACTCAGGCAAAGTTGTGGGGTGGTGGCGGGGGTCTACAGCCGGAGGCAAAGCAGCGTCTCCGGGAAGAGGCTGGGTACCCCTGAAAAGCCCCGGCCGGAGGTCCGGCGATCTTGCCAGAATGCCAGAAAGAAAGCCGACCAGTGCCCAATTCAGGACTAAATACATGGAACCCCTTTGAATTACGTTTGCGTATTTTCAGTGTGATGAAGACCCCGGGGTTAATTTTGGAAACGCCCCAGTGGTAGGAACACACGGCGAGATATTTTTCATTGAGACAGGAGCTGAGGTTTTGGCCTCAAGAATTCCACCGGAGGGAGGAAAGCGGGTGGGAAGGCCCAGAGGACAAATGAGGGGCACATTGACAACTGTCAGAGAGAACAGAGGGTCCCGCCTGCCCATGCCCCCCCCCCCCCCCCCGCCAACGAAAGGTCAGGGAAGCCAGCGGGGACACGTCTTCCAACTCCCGCGGTTGGCACAAGGTTCAGGGAGAAGAGTCGTCTTATCAAGGACGGTCGTGGGCGTGCACACCCGAGGAAGAAGGAATCCTGTTTGTTCATAAAAGGTACAGAAGAAACGGGGCGTCCAGAAGGCTTAACGGGCAATCATTGGGTCAACGCCAAGAGAAGGGCAAAGGGAGACTCTGTGAAAAATGCAGAAGTCCCAGGCCTGGCGCTCAGCCCCTCATCTCCCCTGCGTGGGCGCCTTCACATCCCCCGGCCTACACACCGCCATGTCCCTCCGCGGGTTGCCGAGCCCCGTGCGAAAGGCAGAAACACCCACGTTTTCTTTCCATGCCTCAGTGACACAGCCTGTACGTCGTGGCTCTTGTCGGTCACTTGCGAGAAGAGGTTTGAAGAGGATAAATGCCGCAGTTTCAGGACAAATCGGGAGTTTGTGGAGGAGACAGCTCATTCCCAGGAGGTGCCTGGGGTCCCGGATTCTGATTCTGTCCACACTGCTGGATGCTCCGAGATGACGGGACTGCACGTCCACAGGCTGACCTGTTCCGAGGAGGGTTGGTACCCACAGAGACACACATCTGCACCCAGCTCCCAGCTCTGGAGTCATCAGGAATCTGTGCCTGTCTGGACCCCACTCTCGGGCCCAGAGTGTAACACACACGGACCCCTATCCTCTGTCCCTAAGACTCACAACGCAGACACTGTGGATGGTGGGGACAGCCTTAAACACTCAGCATCACCACGCCTTGTTTTCCTGGCGACTCTGCCGTGGGATCTTTTCCCTCTAACCTCTTAGATTCAGTCCCTGACCCTGCAAATTAAGCAGATAAAGGATTAACAGGCAAACCTGCCTTAACTACATATATAGGCACTGGGGTTCACAGAGAAAAATGCGGCTCAGGGAGACAGCCAGATAACCAGGGTGGCTGTTACAAATACCCCAGATATTTATTGATCCCAGACCTGGAGGCTGAGAGTCCGAGATCCAGGCAGAGCTGAGGCTGGTTCCTCCTAAGGCCTCTCTCTTTGGTGTGTTGACCCCGTGCCCTCCCTGTGTCCTCCCATGGTCATCTCTGTGCATGTCTGTGTCCTCATCCCCTCTTCCTATAAGGACCCCCATTCTATGGGATCAGGGTCCATTCAATGGCCTCATTTTACCTTAATCTCTTTAAAGACTCCATCTCCAAATATAGCCTCATCCTGAGGTCCTGGGAGCAAGGGCTTCTACATGTGAGTTTTAGGGGGACACAAATCAGCCCCCAGGACTCCCCTTTCTTGGAGAAGGGACACGTCCACCTCACTGCTCACAAGCCCGCTTAGGCCAGCACCACAGCTCCTGATGCTGAAGATGACTCTTTTCCCTCAAAGCATTTTCTCCTCTATGGGCTTCACACATTCCTCTGGAACTTTATCGCTGGGGCCTTTCTCTGTTCCCCTCTGAGTTTCTCCGGCAGCCGACCCTGAGGTTCTATGTGGCCCTTCTGTGGTCTGTGTTCACACGGCTCCTGACCCAGCACAGGCCCTTCCCGAAAGGGTTCACTTCCCCTGGCCCGGCCACGTCGGTCCTTCCTGTCCTGAATGTGCACCTCCAAACAGACCTCGAACTTCCCTTTGTGGCCCGCGTATGTCACTGTGTTTCCTTCCTTGTGGGGAACATTTCAGCAATGATCCCGGAGGGGCCGATGGACATCAGTGGCGTGGCGGGGCCACCCCACCCCCACCCCCCTGCCGCAGGGAAAGGTGGGAAGCTGTGAGCCGGGAGGTGCCTGAGACCTACCACCAGCAGGCACGGGCAGGTCAGCCCCTGCTTCAGGGCTGACCCACAACAGGTGCACCGAGAACGCCTTCCAGGAGGGCTGGTCTTTGCTGGGCTGGTCCAGAGCACCTACTTCCCACCCACTGCTCTGGTATATGGAGCTCTGCACCCCAAGCTGAGGGGCCAAGGTCAGTCTTGAAGGGCTCCACGCCACACTGCCCTACAATGTACCTCTTGGGCATATGGAAGATTTTGTGCAACAGGCCACGGAGAACCAGCAGAAGCAGGAAAAGCTCTATATGTCTCCCTAACGACCAGAAGACAGAGGACATAAAGTTTCCCATCATGAAGGAAAATTACATTTGTAAATAAAGTTTCTAATGGTATAAACGTTTCTATAGCAGGAAGATGACTACACCCAGAGATTTCTTATCATCTGAGAGATTCTTATGAACAAGAGCCTGTATTTATCACTCATTTCCTGCTTTCCCTTTCCCCATAATTGCCTTTCCCCATTCGAAACCCAGAAACCCCCTTTCCGATGTTGAATTGAAGATGGTTTATAAGACCTGATCATCTGACTGTCTCCCTGAGCCGCATTTTCCTTCGAGAACCCCCATGCTTATATATTGTAGTTAAGGCTGGTTTTCCTGTTAATCTTTTATCTGCTTAATTTGCGGGTGTCGTGAACCGAATCTAAGAGGTTAGAGGGAATCGATTTTTTTTTTCCTCCCCTACAACCTCTACTCTCTGAGTCTCTCATTTCCTCGCCTCTGTCCTAGGTCTGTCCTATGTAGGAAGACTTCTCACTCACTAATGAGACACAGAGCAGAAAGGAGTAGACCTGCTTCCCCCAGGTAGGGAGATAAACATCTCTCATCCCTGGAGGTTGGAAAGAGGCTAAAACACTGTGATGGCCTGAGGGGTTTGTGTACTCCGAGTCTCTGGTGGCCTCCAGGCTCATATTGGATCTTTCTACAAAGACATTTCATCCTTGGAGCACTTGGACGGCTCAGTTGATGAAACGTCCTACTCCTGATTTCAGCTCAGGTCGTGATCTGAGGGTCATGAGACGAGCCCTTCACTGGACTCTGTGCTCAGCAGAGAGTCTGCTTGGAATTCTTTCTCTCTCTCTGCTTCTCCCCCCGCTCTTCTCTCTAAATAGTAATAATGATAATGATGATTTTTTTAAAACAGGTTTTCCATCCCGGTCAGGTGACCTGTGGCCTCACTCCTGGTGGTGTCCATTCAGCCACTGAGGCCATCCCCTGTCTGTCTTTGTGTCCAGCCCTTGTTGATCTGCACTGATGCAGAACTATTAGAAAAAAATCACTCAAAGATACAAAACCCTGTCCCGGCAATCACCAGACACAGAAAGACCTTCCATCAGAAAATTCCATCGTTTTTTTTTTTTGGCCTCTGCAACACAGCCAGCTCCCAGGTCCCTGCTCACTTCCAAATGGCTTTTAAAGCCAGTACTCATCACATGGACTCCAAGGCAGGTGACCTCCCTGTGGACCATGGTCTGTCCCTAAGGATGATGCCAGGAGTGTTCCTGCCTGCTGGGACCTTTGTTGTATAGGAAAATGGTAGCCCCAGGGGCTTGGCTCAGGGCCAGACAGAGTTGCCTCGTACCCCAAGGTGGCTGCTGGGGACCAGTATCCTCACCACACATTCCTTCTTCTTTACTGCAGACCTCACTTCTGCCCTCGGCCACCCCGCACAAGAGAAGCAGCCTAAAATAATCCCGATAGTAGCTCTGGGGTTTGCAATGGTTCCCCACACAAGCATCTCAGCAGCACGAATGTGGGTGGGACCAGCAATGGCCAGTGACAGTGGGGTGGGGAAAATCACGCCTGGTGGGGAAACTTGGTTCACTACCAGCTTGCAGAAAGTGGTCATCAAGGAAGCATGTCGAACGTACTGACGCTCTGGGGGGAGTTCCAGCAGAGTTTCAGAGGTACTGTGACTTTGCAGGGAACCAGGGGTGTGGGAATAGGATGGTGGCCCCACACAGTACTGGGATGGGGCACTGCTGGCCAAATAAGGTGACGGGATGCACCCCAAGAGCTCCTGCATATTCTGTAAAGGCTCATTACCGCTGACTCCCCTAAGGGTGTTAAGGGAGGGTCCGGCTTGGAATCTGACCTCTGACCTTTGTTCTCCTCCTGTGTAGGTGCAGCATTGGGGCTGGTGCATGGCGACCATGCTGGGTCTTGTGAGCTTTCTGGTGATCCTGAACTCGGCGTGCTGCGGACGAGCACAGCTGGGTAGGTACAGGCAGGGGCTCCCACGCCAGGGTCTGGGTGGGGTGAAACTGCCATACTCCCACGCCAGAAGGGGACAAACATCCCTCCCCCAGACCCGAGGTATCTCCCCTGGTAGAGGAAGGGGTCCTTTTGCAAATCAACCTATAAGTGGATGTTTAACCTCTGTCAGAATCAGGGACTGAAAAGTGTCAAACCCAGCTCAGGTGTCAGACCTTCTGTCTATCCTGGGGAAAAAAACTTATTAAAATGCAAAAATTTTGGACGCCTGGGTGGCTCAGTCAGTGAAGCACCCAACTTTTGATTTTGGCTCAGGTCATGATCCCAGGGTCGTGAGATCGAGTCCCACACGGGTCTCCTTGCTCAGCGGGGAGCCTGCTTCTCCCTCTGCCTCTGCCTCTGCTGGTCCCCCCGCTTGTGCTCGCTCTCTCTCTCTTTCTCTCTGACAAATAAATAAAACACTAAAAAGAAAAGAAAAGAAAGAAAGAAAGAAAATCTTTAAAAGTATATGTTTTGAAAACAAAAAAATCTGCCAATCTGCAAAACCTGTCCACAAAGGTACAAGATAATGTAGAAATCGTAGGCAGGTGACCCCGTAAAGATGGCGCAGAGACGGGGAGAAAAACATCCCCTGGTTTGGAACTAGGGTCCTGGGGACGTTGGGGCGTCTCTCCTCCCCCGAGGCTGAGGACGGGCATTCACCTCTCTGACGACCACATTTCACAGATGCTCCAGATCTGGGTCCAGACATTCTGGAATTTTGATGCTTGAAAAGCCCCTCTGGGAAGGGCCATGTTCTACTTTGTACTTTCGTTGCTTTTGCTTTTGGGGTCAAGTAAAAAAAAAAAAAAAAAAAAAAAATCATTGCTTAGACCAACGTCAAGGAAGTTTCCAACTTGGCTTTATGTTTTTATGTTTTTCTTGCCTAGGAGTTTTTTGGTTTCAGGTTGCACGTTCAAGTCTTTAATCCAGTTAGAGAGAATTTTTTTGTGAATCTGGTTAGTGGCGTGGTTTCACTCTTTGGCAAGTGACTCACAGCTTTTCCCAGCAATCAGACTGCTTTTCCCACCATTTTTTGGAGAGACTCTGCATCCCCCATTCTATATTCTTGACTCTGATGTTGCAAATTTGTTCTTCATGCTTCCCCCCCCCGCCCCCAACAGGGAGAATTAAAGTCCTCATGGTTAGTTTCTACTTGTCCTCCCCTGTGGCAGGTTCCTTCCTGGTCCAGGTGATGCATCAGGTCCCCCACTCCCTGCCCCACCCCAAGAGTCAAAGCCCACCCAGAAGGCATGGGACAGAAGCTCCTCCATTAGATTGACACAGGAAGGCCCACTTTCCATTCCCTCCCAGAAGGTTTAGAGGGTCCTAAGGTCTCCACAACCTGCCCTTTGACTTTAAATAGTTTCTGTAATTTTTTTCTGTATTTAAATTTTTTTTCCTGTATTTAAACATTTTTCTGTATTTAAGATTTTTTTATTTTTATTTCTCTATATTTTAAGAATCACTTTCTGTATTTTTCAAATATTATTACTATAGCTAATGTGTCTGTATTTTCCAAATTATTTTCTGTACTTTTCAAATTATTGCTACTGTAGCTAAGTTGTCTGTATTTTTTCTTTTTTCTTTTTTTTAAAGATTTTATTTATTTATTTGACACAGAGACAGACATCACAAGTAGGCAGAGAGGCCGGCAGAGAGAGGAGGAAGCAGGATCCTCCCTGAGCAGAGAGCCCGATGCGGGCCTCAATCCCAGAACCCTGAGATCATGACCTGGGCCAAAGGCAGAGGCTTTAACCCACTGAGCCCCCCAGGAGCCCCATGTCTGTATTTTTTCAAATTATTATTGCTATACCTAACTTGTCTGTGTTGTTCAAGTTATTTTCTATATTTTTCAAGTTATTTTCTGTATTTTTCAGATTTTACTACTATAGCTAAGTTGTCTGTATTTTTCAGATTATTATTGCTATAGCTAACCTGTCTGTATTTTTCAAATTATTTTCTGTATTTTTCAAGCTATTTTCTTTTTCACATTGTTACTTAGCTAACTTGTACTTTTCGAATTCTTTTCTGTATTTTTCAAATTACTATTGCTATAGCTAACTTGTCCATATTTCTCAAATTATTTTCTGTATCATCTGTGTTTTTCAAAATATTATTACTATAGTTAACTTTTGTGTATTTTTCAAATTATTTTTGTTTTTCAAATTATTGTTGCTATAGCTAACTTTTCCATGCTTTTCAAATTATTTTCTGTACTTTTCACATTATTATTATAGTTAACTTGTACTTTTCAAATGATTTTGCATATTTTTCTAATCATCACTATACTTAACTTGTGTATTTTTCAAATTGTTTTATTTTTCAAATTATGACTATAGCTGGCTTGTGTTTTCCTTTATTTTTAAAAAATATTTTTTTTTATTTATTTTAGAGAGGGAGCGAGAGAGAAAGAGAGAGAGAGCGAGCACAGGCCAGCGGGGAGAGGCAGAGGGAGAGGAAGATTCCCCGCTGAGCAGGGAGCTCAATGTGGGACTCGATCCCTGGACCCTGGGATCATGACCTGAGCCAAAGGCAGATGCTTAACCACTGAGCCACCCAGGCAAACTAACTCATATTTTTCAAATTATTTTCTGTATTTTTCAAATTATTATTACGAAAGCTAAGTTTACGGGAATGAAGTGACTTCTCATTACGGTTTTGTTATCCATTCCCCTGATAACTAATTGTTCTTTTCATGGGCTCATAAATGTCGCTGAATTGTTCACTTTGAAATGGTTTATTTATTTTATTTTATTTATTTTGTGCGTGAATTCGGCCTCAGTAAACAAACAAATGTAACAATCCATGCCTGATGTTTGCAGATTATCTCCCCCGACCTGTAACTATGACATCACCTGGGTAGGGGATTCTAATTCCTACTAAGTTTGTTTATTCGTTTCTAATTACAGCAGGGGAGAATAGATCTCCTATTAAAAACATGCAGCTAGATTCAAGGAAAAGAATGTTAACCTGGAATTACATAAGAAATGTGAGTGAGCAGGAATGCCTGATATCTACCCCTCCCAACTCTCCCACCATGCCTAGCTTTTCCACCATACAAGCCCCAGAGGTGAGTACTCTTGGCTCATGCCTTACGGCTTTGCTCCTTGTAAATCTTGAATTTTCCTGTGAAATGATTCTTGAGTCCCCTGCCTTGATTTCCACTCCTATTGCTCTTGTCAGAGAAGAAAAACATTTCCTCTATCCTCTTATATTCCGGGATAGGGACATGCAAATTAAAGTGACCAATGCCAGATTTTTCAGGGGGAAAAGACGTACAGATTTGTTCTTAGTCCAACTTTTTACATACATGAAGAGTCACAGAAGCAAAGTAAACACCCCAAGAAGTGGTCAGACTAGGAAGATTTCCTGCTGTTTTTTTTTAAAGGAGTGAGAAATTGAGATATCATGATGAAGGAATAGGGATTTTTGGCTTCTGGGGCCACTACATTGTTTGGAAGTGACTAGGGAATCAGTGGGTGAACTAGTGGCTGGTACGTGTTATTTTAGTAAGGTCTGTCTGTGCAGTGTCTTCTCAGCGCTGGTGGTCCTTCTCCAGTAATAATGATCACTCTTCACCTTCCTGGCACAGGAGAAGGTGGGAAAACCCTTTGTGAAAGGGTCTTTTGTGTCCTGCTTTTATGTAGATAAGGAGGCAGAGAAGCCCTCTTTTATCTGTCCATTTGTCAGGTACCCCCTGCTCAAAATGATTCGTAGGCCAAAGTGGTCTCTTTGGGACTGGGGCAAATCCCATATATAGGATGACCTCCTTTACTCTGCTTCTGTATGGTAGGAATAAAACTTACACACTACGTCTCACATATGAGGGAGAATATAATAGCTGTCTTTTGGGTGCATGCCTTCATTTGATTTCTCCCCTTAGTGAGGGAGGAGGGGGAAAGATGTGAATTTGCCCATTAAATGGGCTCCATCCCCTTCATGTTAAAACAGCCCCCCTGGATTCAGTTTGTGTTTATGTTTATTCATTCATCACCTAGTTCACACACTCCCTTAGTTTCATTCTAAGGATGTCAGGAAGGAAAAACCTTGTCATCCACCCTCTTAGGTTCTGTCCCCAGAGGCCTGTGAATTAACGTGTTGAAAGATAGATAAAGAGGAGGGAGAAAAATATTTTCCCATGCATATGGAGCTTATAAAAAACAGAGCTCAATAAAGAGCTAAAGTGAAGGATTTATGTACCTAACCAGTACGAAAAAGGAAGGAGACAATAAAGCTCTCTACTGTTAGAACAAGGAGTTTTCCAGAAAAAAACAAAAACAAAAACAAAAACAAAAAAAAAAAACAGGAGATAAAGTTTGGAATCATGCTTGTTTATGTAAGTTTGAGAAGTTTTTCTGACTTTTTGTGGCCCTAAAGCTTTGCCCAAAGAGGGCATTCATGGTAGGTTTACCCTTGATGTCTTTCCTGGAAGTTAAATTCACTCCAAAGAGGGAATTTATGGTAGCCTCATTTTCCAGAACTTTCTGCTTTTAGTCAGATAAAAAAAAACTCTCCTCAAAAATGTTTCTTTCTGCATCTCTTGAATCCAAACGTCTTCAGCTTAAAATGATCTTCATAATAATTTGGGGCTTCCTGGGGATGGAGTGGGGGATCCCCACAACAGGTGGGGATGTGCCCCAGACAGGAGGCTGCAAAGGATCCATGTCCTCTGCCCCAAACCCTGCCCCTGGGGCGCTTCCAGCCCCGACATTCCATCCCTCCATGGGACGACCGTACCTTGAGACACCCCCTGGGATCGCCCCGTAAACCGATTCTAGAATGAAATGAGAATCCAGGCTGCCCAGGGAAAAGCCAAAACCCAGAATGAGCAGGTGGGCTGTGCTCCCGTACCCCTGCCCATGCAGACTGTGGCAAGGAGGACCCCTGTATCGTTACGGCTCTTTTTAGCAGGAAAATTTTTTTTTTTTTTTAAAGATTTATGTATTTATTTGGGGAATGGGGAGATGCAGAGAGAGAGAGGGAGAGAATTTCAAGCAGATTCGGTGCTGACCGTGGGGCCCTACGCGGGGCTGTGTCTCCTGACCCTGAGATCAGGACCTGAGCTGAGAGCAAGACCCAGGGTCAACCCCACTGTCCACCGGGCTCCCCATTAGGATTTTTTAGATGGGTTCCTCTGGCGCCATCTGCAGGCTGAGGAGGGTCTTGCATTGTCTCCGGGGATTAAAGTCGTGGGGAGCAAAGGACACCTTCCCAGGTATGTCCTGCTCTCAGGCAAGTGATCTGCACTGGGGGTGTCTTCTATCTGGTCTTTGCAATTGCCTTCAGCTCAAAATAATCCTTGTGCCGAGATGGTGTACTGGGAGGTGATATAGTCTGCTACGGTCACCCCTTAGGAGCAGGGATTTATGGCCCCCGGGGTGGGGGCAGGAGGATGGAGGAAGGAGGGTTTCCCCGTAGGGGGTCGCAGAGACCCCGCTGTGGGCATCATTACGTACCTGTGCTTTTAAAAAGTAATGAAATTAAATTTTAACATAATGAAACAGATGGAAATGGGTCGCTGACCTTCCTTTATGAGTGGGTCATTTCTAAGCATTGTATCTCTTTCTGTGGCTTGCCTCAAGTTTTTTTTTCCCGATTTTAAGTGTTGGCTGTTGGTGCACGGAAGGCATTAATTTAATGGCTTTCCTGTCCAGGGTTATTTGTTTTGTTTTATTATTATTACTATTTTTTTTTTTTTAACAAATTCAATATGTTTGGCGGAAGCATCTGGTTTTCTGAATGTCGTCCTGTAATTTAGGAACAATGTGAGTGTGCCCCTCCCCTCTGTAATGGTCTTGGCTTTCTGTTTCATCTCATTTTTCCTTGCAAATTCAAGAAAACGTTCCCACATTTAGTGTTTCTGTATGAATTACAACACGGCCTGTTGGTGAAAAGCAACGGACATCAACAACAACAAAACCCCAAAGCAAAAACCATCTTTGTCCTCATTTAATTCATTTAAGTCCCTGCTGTGCTAAGTATTGTTTTTTTCTAGCACAGATCTGGCAAATTCTTGAAAATGTGTTTTTGGACCTCTGTCGAGATTATCCCTTTGCTTCCCCCCCTGTATGGACCTCATGAAAACAGATCGTGCACAATCTTGATGGGATTTTTTAAAAAAATAATGCTGAATTTAGTGCATGAGCATGACATTTTGGGTTTTACATTTTTTCATAGCTTTACGTTTCTTTAAAAAAAAAAAGGATTTTATTTTATTAAGTAAGTAATTAAGTAAGATTTATTAAGTAAGTGTGCACCCAGTGTGGGGCTCAAACTCACGACCCCATGATCAAGAGTGGCACTGTCCACCGAGTGAGCCAGCCTGGTACCCCGTTTTTTGTTTTTTTTTTTAATTTTAATTTTTAAATGAAACTGGTTCTTATTTTTATTTATTTATTTTTTAATATCCTGTGAGGGATACCTGGGGGGTTCACTCAGTAAAGCAACTGCCTTCGGCTCAGGTCATGATCTCAGGGTCCTGGGATCGAGTCCTGCATCAGGCTCTCTGCTCAGTGGGGAATCTGCATCTCCCTCTGCCTCTCCCCCTGCTTGTGTGCATTCACACACTCTCTCTCTCTCTCTCAAATCAATAAATAAAATCTTCTAAAAATATAAAATAAAATATCCTCCAGATGGTCTTAGATTCCAGCTCTGCCACGAACATAAAAACGAGTCCCTCTACATGTTCCTCAAGGCCGTCCGTTTTTTGCCTATGTGTGTTTTCCGTGTTACTAATCTCTGGTTCATTTCCTTCCGCCTGCTCTGAGCAGATTTGTTTTGAGGGTTTTCTGCAGGAAAGGGAAAAAAAAAAAGAATGCTAGCTCGCTAGCTCTTTTGCAGAGAAGGGTTCTAATGTCTTAGATTAACTGAGTGGCAGGCCACCTCCTTCCTGCTGGTTGGAAAGTGAAGGTGCTGGAACCGGGGTCCTCGGCCCTCGCTGGGCTGCCTCTTTGGGTCACTTTTGTTTTAAAAGGCCTGCGTGGTGCTTCTAATTCCCTGCTGTCTCAAGACTTTGAAGGAAGTCTCAAGACTTCCTTTGGGAAAACATAATTCTGTTTTTGAAATAATCAGAGTCCCCTTCCTCCTCCTCCTCCTCCTCCTCCTTCTTCTTCTTCTTTAGTTGGGAGTTGACTGGGTTTTGGTGTTTTGTTTTGTTTTGTTTTGTTTTGTTTTGTTTTGCAGACTCAGAAAACGTGACTGCAGACTTTGTCACTGGGATTTTGGGTTTTCTGTGAGGCTGCCCAAAGATGCTTGCAGGGAAGACGGGATAGGTGCGGGTTCAGTCAACCCTTGAAGGCATCTCTGGACTGTGCGTTTTATTCCCTCCTTAGCAGGCCCCGCTGAGGGAGACCCAGCTCCGGGTCAGGATGGGGGTCTCTCTGCAGCGTGAAGACCTCCCAGGAACCCCCGGGGGTCTGCCTCTGGCTTTCAGCGCGAGATCAGGCACAGACAAACAGATGTCAGTGATGCTCTCAGTCTGTTTTCCTACGTTTTGAACTTGAGGAAATTGGAGTGTATGTAAGGACCCTCCTGGTGGGACCCAACCCGACCGGCCCCATGGGCAGTGAATGCCCACAGTTCCTTGTTGGCCGGGCCACCCTGCACCCACGGAATCCGGGATTTCACAAACAGGATGCTGCTGTACTTACTCTTTTTTTCTTTTTTTCCACGTGCTCTGTTTTTCCTTTCAAGTTCTTTTTAAATCTCGTGACCTCATGGGTCACCATGCTTAGGCTCCATATTTAGCACGAGACACCATGTGGGACTGTTTGCCATCACAGCCCCGGCGAATGCTGCTTTGCCTATTTTTTCCAGTTCCTCATTTTGCCCCCATAGGAGTGTTCAGCGGTGATTCCACAGTAAGAGGAAAAGGATTAAAAATACATACTCCCATGCAGTTGTGAAAGGGAACCAGCTCGACCCTTGCTACAATGTATACGACCCTTGCTACAACGTATACAAACCTTGCTACAGTGTATATGACCCATGCTACAATGTGTACAGACCTTGCTACAATGTATACGAACCTTGCTACAACATATACAAACCTTGCTACAATGTATACGGACCTTGCAACTGTATCTGGGAATGCAGACCCAAAAGGCTCCATCAGCCCAGCTCTGTGAAGCTACACAAATAGACAAATCCTGGTAAAAGAAAGTACGTTAGTGTTTGCCAGGGGCTGGGGAAAGGGGGTGAATGAGGCCTAGTTAGGGGGCCGTGGGGTGGGGGTGATGATATTCTGGAACTAGACGTAATGTTTCCACTACAGAGCAAAGGTGCCCCACGCCACTGACGTGCACGCCTAAGAGGGAAGGACACAGTCCATTTTGTGGTTACGCCTACTTGTCCACGATAAAAAATTAAAATAAAAAAAAATGGTCAAAAGCTAAAGTGCAGAGCAAAACAGAAATACATGTATGAATATGTAAATGAGTCAGACAAAATCCCGTGCCCGGCCAGAAGGCCAGCATGGATTGAGGAGCATCAGCAGAAAGCCGGGACGCAAGGGGTTCCCGGGCATCCTGCTCGGTCATGCCAGAGACGGGAGGGACCTCGTCTTTTCTGCCTTTTCTGCCAGACACAACCCGTGACGCACCTGTTCTCTGTCCTGATCCGAAGGAAGCATCCAAATCCCATCTTTTATTTCTGTTTTTTAATTATTGTTATGATTTTCATTGTATTAAAAGTCCCATCTTTTCAACAAGTGGGAAATTGTATGTTGGAGCAAATTTCTTGCAGAGACAGGACGCAGGAGCCCCTTACGGACGCTCCAGATGCAGAGGCTTCCGGGCCCCTGACAGACACCGCTGGAACCCAGAACCCCAGAACCCAGCTGCATCCCCTTCAGCTGTAAAAGAGATTCACACACGTGTCCAGGAGACCCCGTGCTGTTGCCCGTTTTCTAATGGATGCTATCAAAGACGCAGGAGGTGTATTTTATCCTTTTGGGAACTAGAAAAAAAATAAATATATATATATATTTTTTAAGATTTGCATTCGGCCTCAGGATGGGTGATGACTGGGACACTTTTGTGAGCCCTTGATGATTGAAGAAGGTGCTTTTCTCCTCATCTCGCTCACAAACAGGCCCCGATGTATTAAAACTTCTTTTCAAACATTTTCCCCCCAAAAAACCTCTGAATGGGTCCCCTGCTGGTGGCCTCCTGGTTGGCGTTTTAAGGCCGCCAATCACCCGATTTTTATGTAAATCTGAGATTTTCCTGTCTGGATGTTTTAAAGGGGCTCTTTGTTCTCTGTATAATTCCTAGGCTGTTGTTCCCCTTAGGAGGAGCTTGGGAGGAACCCTCCCCCTCTCCCCAGCCCCAGGTCGTCCTCGCTGATCATCCTTTTTCAAAATGCGTAATTGTTTTAGGGTCCCCGAGCAACCGTTTCTGTTTGTTTGTTTGTTTGTTTCATGCAGGAAAACCTTTTTGCGATAAAGGGTTTCTGTAGACTCGGAAATGGCATGTGTCCTACTGTCATTTCTAGGAAAAAAAATAAATCATCCTTTTATTTCCTATGGCAGAATCATTTCGCAATTTGGGTCCTCATTGATTTTCTTTACACAAGGGCAACCCCCTCCCTGCCCCGGGCCTGGGGGGCCTGGTAAGTGCCAGGTCACCCAAGTGTCTCCAGGACCCCCCTCCCCCATTGTCACCTGGCCTTGCTTCCAGAATCCTGGATGCTTCCTGGATCCCCTTCCAGAAGCTGTGCTGGAGGGCAGGCCTGGCTGGATTCTCAGGGATATTCATGCATCTGATCTCCCCCCACCATCCCTCCCCGACCCCCAGGGCACTGTGGCCACTCACCGCCCTGCATCCCCAGTAAGACTTCTTGGGGAACTTAATCAAACACAGAATCCAACCCCCAAACCCGGAAAGCCTCCCCCACAAAGACAAAACAGCCGTATTACTACAGGAGCATTAATAAAATGCATTCACAATTGATCACATCAACCAAGAACCCCCCAAATGAAGACAAAGGAGCCTCCAGCCAGGGTGTCGGCCACTAGCTCTGACCTTGGGCAGAGCCTCAGAGTCACGCAGAGGACTGGGAAAACTGCATCGTGGTGCAGGCACGCAACACCACTTTTGTCCACCCTCTTAAGTTCTGTCTGCGAGGCTCTGCAAATTAAAATGACAGAAGACAGACGAGCTGAGAAAAGGCATGCACATTCTGTGTGCTGTTAAACATTTTAGGTGGCATGATGTGGATGTCTTGATAGAAAGAAGAAAATGTTCCCGAAGGAGTGGTTAGACCTGAGAGTTTGTATATGGTTTTTCACGAAGAGCAGATACATCGTGCAGATGTGGGCAGGAAGAGCGTTGGAGGCTGCTAAGGGCAGCAAATTGCGGGGTAAGATAGATATTTGAAGGACACTCTTGGAAGACACGGTTCATGTCAGTAGGGTGGTTCATATGGCTCCGTCTCGGTGCTGACTTTCTGCCTTCTTCATGGTCCTAAAAGTTCCCCCAGAGAGAGAGAGAGCGGGGATCCGTGTCATGTGTGTTTCTACAGGTTTCTGCTGTTAGCCCAATCAGGGAAGCTCCAGGAAGGTTTCTTTCTGTATCTGCTGGTTCTCCGTTGCTTCTGAGTCAGGATAATCCTTACGCAGCACTGGAAGCAAGGACAGAATCAGGGACACCGTTGGTGTCCCTCAGATCCTGGCCATTCTGGGCCAGGTGTGAGCTCGTTGCATTAGTGCAGGGCGAGTGGTTTCCCGGGCGACTCACTCAGCAGGACCTGTGGGCTGGTTATTATAGGCAAGGGTAGGTTTCCTGAAGGTCTTGGGGTAGGTGATCATTGGGGGGAACCAGGAGAAGCACGGGGCAAAGTTTGTCTTGCAGGTTGGGGTCTATTTCCAGGTTGCTGGGTGTCTGCAATCGTCTCTGCCAGCGGGATTCACTCTGCCTTTCTTGGTCAGACCCACGGGGTGGGGACGCCTTCTGAAAAGGAAACGTGTGCCCGGGTTTTAGGTACAGAGGAGGGCAGCGAGTTTTCGTGTGTGTGTGCACATTGCTTTCAGTTCAAAATAATCGTTGCGCCCAAGTGGCCTCTTTGGGGTGACCTGTTCCCAGCATCAGAGGATCAGAGGTGGGGGAGGGATTCTCAATAATCATTTGAGCGGGACTCTTTGCCGAAAGTGGGCTCAGTAGGTCAGGCAGGAGACCTAGCGTGCAACAGGCTTGGAAAGGGGTCCGCGGGGTACTCGATCCAGGACGGGGACGCCCGGCCGTGGACCTCTCCCGGGGCCGAGTCGGGTCCGGGGGAGCCCAGAGTGCGTGTGTGATGTGTGGGTTCTCGGTGGTTCCCTTTCCAGGTCAGAGAGGACAGCACGTACTTCTGCATCTTCCGAAACCGCGTGCTGCATAGGGGAGCCAACCTGACCGTGAGGGTCACCTGTGACGGGGCCAAATTCCAGGAAGTCGTGCCTTTTGCGAACCCAGGTGAGGTCCCCTGAGCGGGTGGGTGCCCGGCTCCCGCCCGGCGCCGTGGGCACCCACTCGCGTCACCTCTCGGGGGCTGCTGGTGGCGATGCCGCGGCTGAGAGCGTCGCTGGGTGTCTTCCCAGGCAGGGAAGGTTCCGGCGCCGTGAACTTCTCCTGCTTCATCTACAACGTCCGTCTCATGAACTGCAGCTGGGCGTCCGGCCCCCGAGCCCCCGCCGACGTCTGCTACCGGCTCTTCTGGTGGGCCTCCCTGTAAGCCGGACGCCGTCCCTGCACCACCGGGGAGCTATGCGGGGATCATCGCGGGAGAGGCCCAGCGAGCCGGGGGACCCCAGGGGGCTCCTCCCGGAAATGTCACAAAATCACAGAACCCGGGGAGGGGAGATGTGGCGCCTTTGTGGCCGCCTAGCTTGGAGTTGCAAACCCTCCTCCCGTCCTAAAGAGAGGACGAAAGCCACAATTTTGTGATGTTTATCGTGCACGGAATGGTTGCGATGGCTTCGCCCTGCGAAGGGTGGGATCCGTCCCTGTCTGTGCCGTGTCTTGGCCGATTCCCTAGGATGCATATCCTGTTCAGGTTTTGTGCTTATTTGGAGACGGATTTGTATCAGTTTGCGGTTTTTTGGTTTTTGGGGTTTTTTGGAGGCCTTTCTGGGTTGGGGAGGAGATCTCCTTGCTGATTATGTCTGCCCAGAAGGATACACAGTCAGGCTTTTCCCGCATCCCTTTTGCAAACGACAGGCACGAGGACGAGGCGGAGTGCGTGCATTACATCACGGACCCCACGGGGACACGCGTGGGCTGCCATTTCGATGAACTCGGTGAACCCCAGGGTATGGATAATTACTTCTTCCTACTGAATGGGACCAGCAGTGAGACCGCAATCCCGTTTTTGGACTTTGTTCCATTTGAAGCCCGTAAGATCGGTAAGACGCTCCCGCGACCCGTGTCCTCCCCCACCCGCCCCCTAGCCAGGAGAGCGGGCTTCACACGTCTGAGCTCACATCCTCACTGTGTGGGACGTAGTCCTGGGTTCAGGACCAGCCTGAGCAAGGTCCAAGGTCGGCACTCAAGGTCTGGGGAACAGAGAGAGAGAGAGACAGGCATGGCGGCCCTGACTGTCCCCTTGCGGTGGGATGCAGGAAAGGCATGTGTTCATGTCACGTACCCATTTTTGGTAATTTTTGCAAATTCCCTGCAAATCCTGAATTTGCAAAACCCAACTTATCACGGCTGCCGCGGTGGAAATACAGGGTCCGTCGTGTTATAACCGTGTTTCTGTTTAAAGACATCTTATATAATGTACATTGCTGATGAATTAATGGTGCACCCAACGCCCACAGCCCTATGCCTCAAGACTGAACAATGCTTATCGTATGTGTGTATTTTCTCCAACAGTCACATCATGACCTTCTTGTGTGTAGGGATGCAAAAGAAGAAAAAAGTTTTCCTCTACCCTCTTAGGTTCTGTAGGCAGGGCTTGCAAATTAAACTGACAGACGCTCTATTAACGGGAGAAAAGCACGCAAATGTCATTTTAATTTTTAAGTCTGATATGCATGGGGGAGGGCCTCACAGAAAATAAAGGAAAATGTCCCAAGGAAGTGGTTAGATTCAGGGACTTATAAACAACTTTTTAAAATTTTTACTTATATACCATTTTAATAAAAATCAATTAACTGTGGAGTTCAATGAAAATGGATTTGTGCTTTTAGAAGTGGTAAATAAATACGGAAAATAATAGGAGAGAGGGTTGTATTAGTGAGGGGTTTTTTGGTACAGATACAATTTGGTGCTGACTTTTACGGACAGAAAACCCCCCCAGAGACGGGATTTGTGGCAATCTTACTTTCTCAGAAGTTTCTGGTTTTAGTCCGATAAGGAAAGCTCCAGAAAGTCTTCTTTCTGTATCCACGACTCTTGGTTGCCTGCGGTTCCAAATAACCCTTGTGCCAACGTGTCCTGTTTTGGAGATGACGTGCCAGTCCTCTTCGTGCAAATCAGACAACACCCCAACTGCACGCTTGGGGGCCGTTTCACACGGTGACGTCGCCAACCCAAAGCACAAAAGCGGGAACGACACCGCACTCCACAGGCCGCAGAACAGGCGCTGGTTTGCAATCCGGGAGCAGAAACCAGAACACAGAGCTTTGCCGTGCTCCACATCATACAGGTGTATGCCCGTGGGGTGACCCCCCCTTTGTATTTTAATTTGCACCCACTCTGCGGATTTCTGCAAATAACCTGGAGCATCATCTGTATCTTGCGTCGAAGGAAGGGGTCCTCCAGCCATGTCCTTACGGCGTCTGGTTCTAGACAAACCGTCTGGTGGATTGGTTGGCATTTTTGACTCAGCTGAGTGCTTGGATGCTTTTAAGACGACAAACGGTCAACCTGCTTTGGTGTGTGCACACAGATCCTGGGTGACTTAGGTCCCCAGAGTTGTAGGGTGTCCCGGAGATGAGGCACAGAGAAGGAGGACGTGCTTGTCTGCTGGCGTCCTTACCTGGGGTCCCGGCAATCTGCAGCAGGGACACGGAAGGTGGGTACTCAACCAAGAGGGGTGGACGGCACCACGGAGGGGACAGTCCCCTTCATGCACCATCAGCTGGCTTGAGCCCTCCCGTTCCAAGCCCAGTTCACCTTCTGTGTTTTGTTTTGTTTTGTTTTTTCCTACAGAAAAAGAAATATAGGACAATTTCCTACAGAGGTGCAACCCGCCGGGAGCCCCCTCCACAACTGACCCCTGGGTGTTTGTGAGGATTTTTGTTGTTGTGTCTGTTTTATTTCCCATAGAAAAGTACGACCCCCCAACAAACATCACGATCGCCCACAACACATCGCATCACATTATCCGGTGGGAGAACCCCGAGATGAGATACGAGCTTTCGCCTCAAGTCTTGTATTATGAGCTGGACATCCAAAGACCAGTAAGAGCCCCCGACCTCGGCGAGGGAACTACAAACCGTGCTCGGTCCCGTCTGCTCATGCAGAGCTCAGTCCCGGCTCACAGACCAGAGACTCTGCTCCCGAAAGTTGTTCTCTGGGAACTCCTGTGCCCTATACCCTACACCGGTGGTTCATTCCTTTTTTTCCCTCCACGAAATCTGCTTCTTTATTTTTATTTTTTAAAACTAATCTCTATGCGAAACGTGGGACTTGAAGTCGGGATCCCAAGACCAAGGGTTGCATGGACCTCTGCCTGAGGCACCCTGGGAGCCCTGTAATAGCTTTTTTTTTTTTTTTTTTTTTTGAGTCACTTTAGGTTTGTAACAGAATTGAGGGGAAGGTCAAGGGGCATGCCCCACACCTCTCGTGGTCCACACATGCACACTCTGCCCATCACCGTTCCCATTAGCTGCCTTTTCTAGAATATCAGAGTTGAGACCCTAACAGGACGCAGCCCTTAGCGTTTTTGGAAACAAAACATGAAAATGGGCTGGAAATGGGCGGCTCATGACAGGTGCACTGGGAGCTCCCCTGAATCTTCAACTTGCCCACCTGCTCCCCGTCCCCTCAGCACACCTGTGCCAAGAAAGCTTCTGCAACCTGAGATCTGGATGCGTTCCCGAGTCCTGGAAATTGGGGACTTCCCACAGGACACTCAGCATCTCTGTTTCCCCATGGCCTGGGGCCTCAACATGCACCCCAAGCCCAGAGCCAGGAGTGGAAGGCGACTCCGGGATTCAGTCCCGAGCACCCCAGACCTCAGGGCCTTTGCACATACCTCACAGAGGCAGGTTCCCTGAGCACAAAGATGCTTTCATGATGCGTACGGCAATGGCAGAGCTGGATGCTCTGGGCACACAGTAGGTGCTCAGTAAATGTTGCCGGCCCCGTCCCATACCCGCATGGTCCTTGACATCACAGTTTCCACATACTTCAGGGCTCTGCAGGTGACCTCCAGGCCCCGCCCAGGTGTGAACTACTCAGTGGCATGTGTCTTTCAAACCACAAATGAGGTCGTGTCCCTTCTGTCCTTACAACCCTTGCGAGGTTGGGTGTGGGTCTTGGGTTAGAGTTGGAGTCCTGGAGACAACCTCCGGGAGTCTGTGGCATCCAGCCCTGCCTGCTCACATCCTCCTCCCCAGGGTTCCTGTGAGTGACATCGCATGAGGGACCTCCCGTAAGTGACCTCTCACAGATGACCTTACACAGGGAACTATGCCCAGCTGACCTCACACTGGTTCCAAGCAGGTGATCTCAGGCAGGTGGTAACACAGGTGACCTCACACAGCTGTGCAGGCCTGAGCGTCCCGTGCGTGTGAAGCCCCAGGTGGGCAGCGAGCTCCACTCTGGCTTTCTGCCCAGAGCCTGGCGGGCACACTCAGTCAGTGCTGGACGAGGCAGAAGGTCTCTGAGAGGGTCAGTCTTCACTAGAACATCCAGTGATGCAGAAAAAAGCTACTCTGGGCGTTGCCTTCTCCTTCCTTGCTAATATCCCCGGAGCAAACTCAACAGCCAGAGACAAATTCACAATAAGGAAACTTTGTGTTGAGGAGGAAAAGCTGTTCCTCCACCCTCTTAGGTCCTGAACCTGAGGGCAGTAAATTAAATAAAGGAGGGGGGGGCAAAGGCATTCATATATATATAAGAGCTCACAAAAGATGTGGCTCTTGAATAGCTCAAGTAAGGAGCTTACTACCTACCTACCAGGGGACAGGGAGAGGGAAAGAAAAAACTTCCAGAAGAGGAACAAATGGGTTTCTAGAAGAAATAGAGGATAAGAACAATAGTGATGATGCTTGTTGAGGCAGGTACCAGTGGTCTTGTTTGTCTTCTTCTGGGCATGAAAGTCCCCTGGAGATGGAATTTATGACACATTCCCCGTCCATCCCGGAAGGGACGTCTCCCCAAAGGGGGAACTGATGGCATGCCTCATTCCCGGTTGTCTGCTCTTTGGCAGATAAGGGAAGCTCTGAGAAGGGTTCTTCATACCAGTTCTGGGGGTCCAGGTGGGTTCCCACATTTGCATATAATGCTGAAACCCCAGATGCTAACAATCCTCCCTTTTGTTACAGGACAGCGCTTCCAGGACAAACCCCGTAAGTATCTCTTCTTTCTCTATGCCTCCTTTGCTTGGGCCCAAAGTCCCATCAAGCATCAGTGTTCACAGATCACATCGGCAGTGGGGTCCCCATTAGCCCCTTCGTGGCCATCAGGCTGTTAGTCTCAGATTGAGAAGCTGTGTTTTCTGGAAAGCCTCTGACTCAGCTCAAGTCATGGGTCATCGTCTACCCTGTGGACAGAGCAACGGTCTTCTTCCAGACGCGACGCCTCGGACCTTTTCAGTTCAAAGTTCGTCATGTGTTGAACACCGTCCTGCAAAAACTCATGTCTGCCCAGACGCTCAGAACAGGGTCTTGTTTAGAAACAGCGTCTTTGCAAATAAAAGGGAAGGATCTTAGATGAGGGTGGCCCTAAATCCAAGACAAGTGTCCTTGTAAGAGACAGAAGAGGACAGACACAGAGAAGAAGCCACAGGAAGATGGAGGCAGAGATGGGAGGGATGCGGCCACCAGCCCAGGGACGCCGGGAGCCCCAGAAGCTGGAAGCGACAGGAAGGACCCTGCCCTGGAGCTTCAGGAGGGAGCACAACCCTGTCCCGCCTGCATCTCAATGGCCCTGCTCTGCCTGGATCTCAGTGGGGCTTCTGGACTCCAGAGCTGGGGGAGGATAATTTTCTGGGGTTTTGAGCTGTGGCGTATGTGGTCGTTGGTCCCTGTCGCCCAGGGCACTCACACAGAGAAGAGCATCCCCGTGTACCCTCTCAAGGGCAGCAGGAACCCCCCACCTCTCAGAATCTGTCTCATCCTTCACCTGGGTTCCTGCAGGCATCGCCTGCTCCCACGCGATGCCGGTGCTGCAGGCAGGATGCTGCCCGTGGGCCACACTGGCAGCAGCCGGGACAAGTGCAAAGAGGGTTGGTGGCAGTCTGAAGGTGTCCCCGGAGGCCAGCCTTGGGGAGACAGGTGTCCTGTCTGGGCCCTATCGGCGACTCGGACAACATATGAGACCTGGTGCACCACGGACATTGGATAAGCAACATGTACGGCTTCTCGCTGCCTCGGGGGCTCTCCTTGGGGAACTGGGGGAATCCCTGCTGTTGCCCTCAGCTTTTCTCTGCATGGGCTGGCCTGGAAGCTCCCAGGATCCATGCTGGGGCCCGTCCAGTACCTGCCTCAGGGCTGTTGTGGCTGAGGGGGTGAGTAGCATGAGATCCTCAGGGTCCAAAAGGAGCCGCACAGCTGATAAAGGCAAGATACTTCATCATGGACAGGTGAGAAGAAACTAGGTTCTTCCAGGCAAGAGGAACAGCGAAGAACATGTCCTGGGGCTTCCAGGTTGTGCAAACTTGGGTCACTGTCCATCCTCCCATCTATGCTGCAAAGAAACACCAGGGCTCCTGGACCGAGCCAGCAGGCGGGAACTCTGGGCGTCCCACTCTGCTCCAGCCCCAGGAAGTGGTTGGACGAGTCGGGGATTTGCAGGGGGTCATGGCGCGTGAAGAAATGCATCCCTGCCCCCGTGGACCCGCAGGCTGGGCCCCCTTCTCCTCGCTGACCACCTGGTGTTCCGGTCGGTCTGACTCCGCTGGTCTCTCCAGACCTGCACATGCTCTGTGCGGTGGACGCAGAGGTGGTCGTCATCCAGAGGGACACGTGAGGCCTGTCTCAGAACTGGCCTCATTTTGGCCCCAGGAAGGGATGGCAGATCCTGGAGCCCCGCCAGCGCTGTCGCATTCAGAGTCCAGCTGTGCCCCCAGATACCGCGAGGCCAGGTGGGGCTCCTGTCCACGCACCCACCCTCGGCTGTCAGTGTATAGATTTGCAATAACCGCAGGTCAGGCCCCGAGGGTGTGGGGACTCTGCGCTAGCGGCCGGCGCAGCTCGGGAAGCCATGGGCCACGGGTGTGGAGTCCACCTTCCCCCGGGAGAGCCCCTTAGGGTCCCTGCTTGGGGCCAGAGAGATGCGTGGATGTCCTGGGCCTCAGGCGTCGTCCCTGCACGGACCCCAGTGCTCAGACTCCAGGGGACCCTCCCGCGTCACCAACGCTGGTCCCAGACCGTGCCCTCTTCTCTTCAAGGTTTTCCAGAGGGGACAAGACGCGAATGTGTACGTGGTGCCGCGTTCTGCCGTCAGGCCGGACACCACGCTCCGGGTGAGGGTGCGCTATCTGCGTAATGAGCTCTGGAGCGAGTGGAGCCCAATGCTGCGTCTCGGTGAGCGCCCGACTCCCCATGCGCCGCGGACGGATATTGGACCGGGTGCCCCTGCGCGGCTCCTCTTCGGGGTCTTAGCAGGACACCTGCCGTTGCGTCCAGGGCGAGCTCATCTGGAACCTCTCCATCACACCTGAGATGGTCCTGTTCCCATAAGGGCCTGTTGCCAGGTTTTGGGATTAGGGCGCACGTATCTTTTTGGGGATCCTTTGAGCGCACAGGCGTCCCTCCCAGCGGAGTGGGCTCGGGGCAGGCCCTACCAGCTCTCTGCTGAAACACACCACCTTTAGTGTGTCCTGCTGCTGGGCGCCCCCTCCCGAGCTCCTGGGATCACCGTAGGAGGACGACCCCAAGAATGAGCCACAGGGCACAAGCCCCCGTGGGCTCCTGTTCCCTTAGCCCTGCTCAGGTGTCTGGAAAGCCCCAGATGATGGCCATACCCCAACCCAGCGGTGTCCCTTTCCCCAGAAGGGTCAGCCAGGGCCCAGGGGAGCTCCACCCGTCCCCTTGGATGCCCAAACAACCCCTCTCCTTTATGGGGTCAGCGAGGGGTATCCCAGAGCTTGTGGTTTGCAACGTGACAGCTCCCATCATGCAGTAGCGCTGGCGGCAGGAAACGGAAATGGAGGGTTTTAGGGAGCTCTGGGGGCCTGGGGGCGGGGGGGGGGGGGTGGTCCCTCACCGGGCCTCTCAGCATACTTCCTTGCAGGGGTGGCAGAAACCCCATAAGACAGGAGTCCGTGGGGACATCCCTCCAGGAGTCCCACACATCCGTTCTGGGGAGCGACAGGGCAGGAGCTCAGAGTATGCCCCAGCTGGATGCCCTTTCCCAGAGGACCCCAGAACGCAAGTGTGGGGCTCCTTCTTTCCAGAGAACAGGTTCACGGCTCTCCAGAAGCTGCACAGACCGCCCAGGTCACATCAGGGTTCCCCAAGGAAAGCCTCCAGGGCAATAGAGAACACACCCCTGTCCCACCCTGGAGTTTCACAATTACACATTCGTTCCTTTGGCTACGTAGCACCGTGTTGAAAGGGAACGTCCGTGAGAAGGAATGCGTTGCGTGGTACTAGTTGTGTCCTTGCGCAAATGTCTGTGGTGGATGGTCTCTCGGGCGTAGGGCGTGGAGGAGACGGGCAGCGACCGCCAGTAGGGCGGCGTGGGCACAGGACCCGAGGGAGAGTCCATACTTCCCCGCCGGCCTTCCACCTCCTCTGGGAGGCTGGTCTTCCTCCGCTGTAGCCCTGCTTCCACCAGCATGCCCCTAATCCTCCGGTAACGGGGTTGAGGCTGGGGGGCGGGCGTGTGCACAAAGCTGACCACCCACTCCCGCGCGCGCGGTCCTGACCGTCTGCCTCTCTCCCCACCAGGCCTCCCGGAGCAGGATTTCCACGGCGCCCTGGTCGGGGTGCTGGTGGCGGCCACGGCGGTGCCCGCGCTGGTCCTCGTGTGCTTCTGCAAATGGTGAGCCCCCAGCCCTGGACCCAGGACTGCCCGCCCCCGCCCTTCCCACCCCGGTGCAGGACCCCGGAGCCCGCGGGATGGCCAGGGGAGGGCGAATGCAGAGTCCAGGCTCGGATTGCAGGTTGCTGAGGGCTGGCAAGGAAGGCGGAGTGACTGTCCATGGGGTGCGGGTGGGGCGCCTCCCGCTGCGCCAGCCACGTCTGTCCGGGGCCACATGACCACAGAGGCGAGGTCTGGCCGCTGCAGTGCGCACGGGGTTTCTGTAGGAGGGGTAGGGGGCCGGGGCTCCAGGGTGCGCCCCCCCCCCGGCTTGCTGGGCCCTTCATGGTATCCCCCTCCTCAGCAGGTACAGTCTGTTCCCCCGCATCCCGCAGGTGAAGAAGGAACTCACCGGGACCCTGTTCTCCCCGGAGGTGGGTGCACCTGTTCCCAGTTCCCAGTCCGGAGGCCGGGGCTACTCCGAGGGGTGCAGCGGCGTTGGGCAGGGGTGTCCTGCGCTCGCCAACGCTGGCGTGCAATTCTAAGGGAGGGGGGAGGCATGGGGGTCCAGCCGCCTTCAGCACAAAAGTCCATCCTCCTGGGAAGGGGACCTCACCACAAAGGCCACAACTTGGGGCTTAAGACAGAAGCAGCCCCTGGAGCAGGGGACGTGGGGTGACCCTATTTCCCTGCTGGAAATGCCAGACCAGTCCTCAGGCACGGGGAGTGGTGGTCTCCCTCTCCCCAGTCAGACAGCCCTCATCAGGAGACCCCGAACCTATGACATGGGTACAGACCCTGTTTCCACATAGAGCTGTCTCTCGTGCTTCTGGCTGGACGTGGAGTCTGCGGACCAACACTCAACCCCGGACCATGGTTCCCAGGGGTTGCCGCTGGCTCTCGGGTGAGGGACCCTCCCCAGGATGGCACCGCTGCCCCTTCTGACCCTCCTCGTGCATCAGCCCCACATTCTGCCCGATGATGAGCAGAGGGACGCCCCCAGCACAGGGGCTCTAGTTAGGGCTGGAGGCTGTTTCCTTGGGAAGCCCCCCCCCTTGGGCTCCCCCTGGGGCTTCCACGAGGCCTGGGTGTCCTCCCGGTGGGGTTGAGGGTTCATGGAAAAAATTGGGGTGAGGTCGTGGCTTTTGTAGGGGGCCTTGCCGTGGGTCTCAACGTTCCAGTGGGAAGGCCTTGTTGACTTAGGGCACCAGCCCAACTTCTCGGGGTCCCGTCCACAGCCCACACTGTGGCTGGCACAGGTGGTCCCCAGACCCCTTGCAGGACCCCCTCTTGTAACATGTGGTCCAGGAAATGCTGCTCGTCTGAGAGCCCAGAGCAGCCGGCAGGTGGATATCAGGACCCCTATTTCACAGTGGGCACAAAGGGACCCCCCCCGATAAGGTCCGGGATAGAAACATGATTTTCAGGCTCAGGCTGGCCGGAGTCACCCCCTCTTATACTGGGGGGGCCTCCCTGAGTCCTGAAGCAGTCATCCCCTGGGTCCCCCATGGCCGCCACCGTCCAGGCTGGAAGGATCTGTGTCCTCCAAGAGGGACTGTGACACCCCCTCTGTCTGGTCCCCTGAGCCTTTGCACCCCAAAGGAGAAGCCGTCCCCGTGATGGGTCCGTTCCATCCCCTCCCCAGCTCCCGACGACACGCGTCCATATTCTGTCTGTGGATTTGCCTGTCCCGGACGTTTTGGATCTGGGGGTCACGTGCTACGAGGTCTGGCCTGTCTCTTCTCCCCCAGAGCATCGTGCTTTCAGGGTCCATCCATGGGGCAGCAGGTGGCAGAGCTCTGCTCCGTTCGTGGCTTAGTGACCTTCCCCCGCGTGCACTAGAGGGAGGGGGTGTCCGCCCTTCGGCCACGGGGGACCATTCAGCTCCGCACAGGCACTTTCTCGGTGGCACAACGAGGATCTCACGCGTGGGTGCCCTCAACGCTGCCCGTCTTCTCTCTCCCAGGTCTCCTGGGACGAGGGCCGCCCTCCGCCAGGCTCCCAGGAGCCCGAGGACGTCCTCATCGTGGAGGACCTGTCGTGACGGGCGTGGCTTCGGCCTCTCCCCGAGCCCCCCGCCTCCCCGGAAAATGTCGCGCAGGAGCATCGCACGCTCACGTCTGGGGACGATGTCTCCCCCGACCCCCACCACCGCCACCCAAAACCCAGCAGCATGGCTTTCTGGCTTCATGCTGGCGTCCACGCCGCGGGCGCTGTATGCGTCTGACGGGCGTTTCCTTCCTGATTTCTGTATTTTTGACTCAGGGGGAAATAAAATAGTTCTACGGTGAGACACGAGTGGGCACATTTGGGGGGACCAAGTCGCGTGTCAGGAGCGGGTTTTGAGGGGAGAAGTCCGTGTCCTGGCCGGGCTGCTCTCATTCTACAAACGGCTGGGAACGAGCCGGTGTTGCCCCCTTACGCTGTGGGGTTTGGTATGAATCCCGTCGCTGGTGAATAAAGGTTCTTCCCAAGACTCCCCGTCCTTAAACAGACTCTGCACAGCCCGGCCGTCTACACAGGACGCTGGGGTCGAGGGCACGAGGTCGTTTGGGAAGCGGAAAGTGAAACCGGAAGTGAGGCAGGTGGGCGTCCTCGGAATATAGGACTCCTGCCAGGTGGGCTCCGGGGCACGGACAGGCTGTGGTTCTCCGTGGGACAGACGCCCACGGCACCACGTTGCAGGTGGGGGCGTCCGTCTCCAGAGACGCCGGCAGACCCCACCCAGCCCCCCAGAGAAGCAGGTGTCTCTGTCCTCGAGTCGTGGACGGACGCCTGAGGGTCTGCCCTGTCAAGGGATTTGCTCAGATCTTGCGAGGGGCACGTGGCCGGGCTGGGGAGGAGAGTGGCTTATGCCGGACATGCCCCCTCGGGCCCGTCTCTGTTAGGGGTCGGGCTCAGGAGGAGCTGCACCCACAGGGGAGGGTTCAGCGTCCTGTGGACACTCTGCTCTCCCAGCAGGTGCCTGGAAGGCTCCCATCCAGCTCCCCCAGCCCTCCGCTCCTTCCTCGCATCCCTCCCGGCATCTACACTGGACGGTGGAGCCCCGCTGCCCCGAGGGATCCAGCCTCCGACCCCCAGGCCACCTCTGACCCAGGGGGGCATTTGGAGAGGACCTTACTCCCTGGACAGGGTCCTCTGGACCTCGACTGCCACACAGCCTCCAAGCTGCACTGGTGACACGACATTTAGTGACAACCCCAGAAACACTGACTCAGCTGCTAAAAAATTAAAATAAAATAAAAAACCAAGCAGGCTGGGGGGCCAGTGGGCGGGTGATGGCGGCAGGCCCGGGATTCCAGCAGTGGCCGCGGACAGACCCCAGACCTCCCAGGACGGGTTCCTGGGACGGCGGCTGCCTCGGGACGGCCTCGAAGCATCTCAGCCGTCAACAGAAAGTCTCCAAGGATCCCACCAGCGACGCCTTCCGGACGCTGGGCAGACGCGTTGCCCATTTGGGAACTCTGCGGAGTGGGGACATGGAAACGCGTGTCCACAGTTGTGGGAACGCAGGCGGGGGGGAAGGGATGGGGAAAGACGGCCACCGGATGTCCCCCTCCGAGGGGCAGACGCCAGGCAGCCAGGACTCGGGATGAGGGACCTGGGGGCGGCTCTTTCTGTCACCCTTGAGCTCGGGGCTCACGGGCGCAGAGGAGGGGGAAGGTGCTTGGTGAGCTTGGCCCAGCGCCCCGCTGTGCCGTTCTGCATGACCATATACCACACATCGGGCTTCGGCTGTGACCATTTAAGGAGGAAAATGCTGTTCCGGGCCGTGTGTGCTCATGTGAGGACGAGAGAAGCCCACGGACACCCGGGTCGGGAGATGCTCGCTGTGATTGCTCGGGACGGCCCGATCCCCTCACGGTCTACACTGTGGGGCATCTGGGGGGCTCCGTCGGGGAAGCGTCTGCCTTCGGCTCAGGTCGTGATCCCCGGGTCCTGGGATCGAGTCCCGCATCGGTCTCTCTGCTCAGCCACGAGCCTGCTTCCCCTCTGCCTCTCCCCCTTCGCCTGCTCACGCTCTCTCTGTGTCTCTCCTGCAATAAATAAATAAAAACCTTAAAAAAAGAAAAAAAAAAACTCTGCACCGTGAAGAAACGTGTGTCACAAGAGGCGCTGATGGCTGATAACGAAGGTTTGGTTGAAAAACATCCATGGTTTGTGTCGGGGCTTAAATACACGGAAGAGGAGTCAGCGCCTTTCGAAACACGTCCACGCACCGAGAAAGAGAACTGAGTCCTCCCAGCAGAGGAAGCGGCCGCCTGCTGTCACGCCGGCCGAGATACCCGTGGGGCCGCGTCAAGGAGCCGCTCCGTCAAGGTGTCGAGCGCGATAAGCAGACGGCGCCCTGAGATTACAGGAAGGACCTTGCAACCAGGGGGGTGCGGGCATGTGAGCCAAGGAGAGACGTTTCCGTCGTAAACACCTGCTCTGCGTCCGCCGATGACCGCGACCCTCGACCCGGGAGCCTCCAGTTTCGTGCACGGATTTGAGTTAAGAACTGGAACCTGGGAATCCAGCCCTCACCGGGCGGGGCGCCTGCAGGTTCTGGAACGGACGGGTCATCTGTGCGCCCTCTGTGGGTTTGGGACCCCATGGGGTGGACAGGCAAGGCTTCCTGGGACTCAGGGCCAGAGTGAGGAGCCAGGGGTGACTCTTTAGGGTCGAGAGAAGAATAAGGAAGAATGTTATTATGATGGGAGCTTAAAGCCACGGGGTTCATCCTCCCCCCACTCCGGAGACCAGAGTCTGAGATCCAGGCGGGGCCGGGCTGTGCTCCCTCCTGAGGCTCTAGGGAAGGGTCCTTCCTCCTCTTCAAGCTTCTAGGGCTCCAGGTGTCCCTGGGCTGGTGGCCACATCCCTCCCAACCCTGCCTCCATCCTCACGTGGCTTCTCGTCTGTGTCTGTGTCTCCTCTTCTGTCTCTTACAAGGACCCTTGTCCTTGCATTCGGGGCCACCCTGATCCAAGACAAGCTCACATCGGGTCCTTTATCATATCCGCAAAGACCCTATTTCCAAACAAGGGCCCCTTCGTAGCCTCCAACGGTCGTACCTTTGGGGAGGCACCATTCGACCCAGCACGGTGACTGCGACTGCTCATTGTCAGGGGTGCCTGGGTGGACAGTCAGTTAAGCTTCCGCCTCTTGATTCTGGCTCAGGTCATGATCTAAGGTGGTGAGATCGAGCCTCGTATCTCACACCGGGGGCGTGGAGCCTGCTTGAGATTCTCTCCCTCCCTCTCCTTCTGCCCCACAATGTGTAAGACAAAAATACAGGTAAATGAAAAGAAAATAGAAAGAGTTTCTTTTGCTTGGTGAGCCAATTGCAGAAGACATTTGCGTCTCCTCGGGACCGCGTGCTGGTGGGAGGGTACGCCCACGGCCTCTGGAGGAGAACTAGCCTCTGCACGGAGCAGAGGGCAAGCCTCAAGGACGTGGGCAAGGTTGTCCCAGAGCAGCTGCCCGGACACCTCAGAGCAAGGAGCACCTTCCCCTTCGGGGTGAGGGGCAGAGCGTCTGGTGGTTCTGTTTTCAGCAGGAAAAGTGCACCAGCAGAGCCTCTTATCTTGGGGGAACCCCCTCGATGAGGACTGGGATCCTACAGCCAGGCCCACCGGGTCCCAGGGCAAGGCCAACCTTAAAGCAGAAAGTGGCCCTGAAGCTCCCCACGGACGCTTAGGGCTCCTCGCGGCTGGATGTCTGCGTGACTCAGAGCTGACAAGGTGTCTTGGGTGAACATTTCGCCTCTGCTCCCGCCCTGGGCTCTTGGAGAAGCAGGACTGGGGGTCTTCCCCAGGCCCCAGCACCGGGCGTGGAAAGGACGCCTCCATGCTGGGTCCCGGGTCCTGGGGCAGCTCCGAGGCACCAGGACCACCTGCTTATCTCTGAGCTGCACACCGTGACCCACGTGGGCACATTGAAGGGTGCATCGCGGGGGTGGGGCGGCCAGGAGTCCGAGACCCCCCGCCCCCGCAGGCCGAGTCCTCCCTCCCTAAGAAGCCCTCACGGTGCCCCCTTACATCCCGAATCGGGCTTCACAGTCGTTCTGCCCAGACCAGATGGCCGACCCCCCACATGATGGGACTTTTTAATTCGGAGGTCGGCGGCGCAGACGGAGGAGGCATTGTCCTCCCCTAATCTGCAGGGAAGACGGGGTCAAATTCTCCTGCTCCCTCCAAGACTGAGGCTCTGGAAACGCTCCTGAACACCAGGGGCGGGTGCTGTTTCTGTAACAGAGTCCGTGTGGACAGGGTCTGGGGTTGCCTGAGAAGGGCTCACCTCCCGCCCCCCGGACGGAGCAAGTGAACTCAGAGGAGTCCACGCAGCTGGGCCACGGGGACGCTCCGACTGTCCTACTCCTTCCGGTTCCCCCGCCCCAGTGGGAGCACGTGCCAGGCCCCAGCACCGCCGGACGGGAAGACAACGCCTTTCCGCCTAAATAAACACGTCGACAATATTCACGTGCGTGAATACACCGGTCCATGCATGTGAATGAATAACATTATTAAGAAACATATTAAAATAAAATGCTAGCGTTTATAGGTTAATGAATAGACATTCATTCATCTCAACATTAATGTGTCCGTATCATATTGTAATAATGGACTACATGTAATATGGGGTTGACGTTATCTAGAATACAGTTTAACATAATGCAAATAATATACAATGTAACAATACAGTCTAGTAATATACAATGTAATACAATAATATTATAACATGATAATATAGAATAATATAATATAATGCAATGTAATGTAATGTAATACTGGCGCACCTGCCACCTGTATGGGCCCTCAGAGGCCCCCATCTGCCCATCGATAAGGACCTGTGCGTCGTGCTGGGTGGAGGGAGTACTCTGAGCTCCCGTGTGCAGGGGTTCCGTGCACAGTTGCGTCGTGCTGGGTGACAGGCTCTCCTCTGGGCTCCTGGGTGCATCTTGCTGGGTGGAGGAGGTCTATTCTGGGTCTGCCTCAGCAGGCATCGGTACCTCCTGCCTCGCCCACTTTCCCTTCCCGCTTCCCGTCTTCTGTTCCTCTCTTC